TCAGCCTGGCCCAGCCCACATTGGGAAGAGCCCACCATAGCCCCAGCCCCAGCCTGAAGTTAAGCCTACCCCGCCCCATGCAGATCCGGGGGCACATGTCCCCCATGCCCTCCCGGGGTGCGCACAGCAGTGGGAGCTGCCGCCCCCCAACACCCTGCCCTAGCCCCAGCCCCACTCATCCCTCACCACAGAAGGCTTGATCTGCCCCCTTCAAGCCCCTTCCCTCCCCTTCCACCACAACAGACTTACCAGCTGGATGCAGCTCTTCAAGCTGCCAAGCTGGGTATTGGAAATCAAATTGGCATCAACCAATATGTCTCCTTAAAAATCGGCTATTGGTATCTGCCCTCAAAATCTCTATCGGTGCACCCCTAGTTTCTCATTGGTAGTTACGATTCATGCCCAGTCTCCTAAATCACATGGCAATTTGAGGGGGGGAGGGAGGAGAATTCCAAGGACTTTGAGGTGACTGATGGCACCCTTGAGCACTCTGATTCATGATTACACAAAAGGCAGGACAAAGGTTTGCTGGACACAGAGTGGGAGTGTCTGTAGATCCCAACAATGTGTCTTCTGGAATGAGAGATCTGGACTTATTGCTTTATAAGGCACTTTAGGGGAATCCCAAGGTATGAAAGGTGCTACTAGTTATCAGGCCTTCCTATTTCACATGGACACTATGGGTCAGATTTCCAAATGATATAAATCAGTGTAGCTCCTCTGGAACCAATGGGGCAAATCCCCAATGGTGTAAACCAGCAGTGCTCAGTGGAGTCAGTGAGCTAAGTCCAGATATCCTGTGAAGAAGCATCACTCCCATGCAGCCATTAGGCTAAATCTCCATTTGTTGTAAATCAACGCTTCAATGGAATCAGTGGGCCAAATACTCAGATGGTGCAAGCCTCTGTAGCTCCACTCTAGTTAATACCAATTCCCATCATCTAAGGATGTGCTCAGTCGGCTCCCATTCTGTTTGTACATGGTAGAACTCCTTGTAGTTACCCTATTGTAGGGGAGGGATTCCCCTCTTACCTGTTGTAAGTAAGAGGGGAATCCAGCCAGTAAGGTGTAGCATGGCATATGGGAGTGACCTGTTGTACAAGGTGAGCAATGGGGTGCAGGCAAGGAGCCTGGACCACGTTGGAGGGTGTAAATACATGTGCATGGATCTGCTTTATGTAGCTGTGAAGTTGTCAAGGGGGTTCCTGGTAGACAACACTCTTCAGGCAGGTTCCAGATAGACATCACAAGTAGCTGAGGCAGGGAGATCATCTGGATCTAAGGAGGTCTCAGGAGAGTGCTTCTAACTTGGGCTCCTGCCCTGGGGAAACAGGAGGCCTGTTTCTTGTGTCTGGAGCCTGCAGTGTAGTTTCTACTCGGCATACAAAGAGAGGGT